TATTTTATTTTTTGTATAAAATGTTTCATTCGATTAAAAACAAAAAATACCTCAAAAGCTCTATCGTCCCAAACTAATAAGAGATACCAAAAGCCATACTCAATCCTTTCAACTCCACGCTTGAATACTACCTAAGAGTCAAACCCCAGGAGATGGGGATTAAGGGTTTCCAAGTACAATATGAGAGTGCACAAGGCGAGAGAGGCCTTAATACCTGTCTCAATCTGCTCAAGGCTCAAGGCTCAAGGTTAAATAATAAAACTCACAACTGTCTCATCCTCAGAGCACACAGCACAAGACAAAATGATGGTACAGATTCTATTCAAGATGAAAACCATGAGAAAAGTTACACTTGTCAACTCTATCCAGATTCTAATTGAACACGATTGTATCAGCTGACTATCGGGGTTTTAGGTAGGATGCTCCCTTGTCAATTCTCCTCTTGGGGGTCAAGTACAAAAATATAGTGGTATTGAGCTCTTTATTAAAAGGACTAAATATGAAAATGCTATCTAAACTCTAAAGGTGGCAGACTAATACTTTCTAAGAGCGCCATTCTAAGTTGCCTATATATACTTCATCTATTTCACCGTGGATATTGATTTCTTCAAGATAAAGCCTCAATACTACCTCAAAACATGAAAACAGCCTTAAATTTAAGTTACTCCACCACATTGCCAAGTAAATTAATTATTGTGTCATAAGAAAACTGGAGATAATAGATGTTAATGGCCTCCTAGCCCAACTGAAGTGTCGACAGCCACTGTGATGGGAGAAAGGACGGGGACATAGGATTCTAAGGCATACAAAACTCTTAATTGGTTATACACAATGGTAAGAATAGAGGAGGTCGCAGTAGATTCATTTTAATCTTCTGTAACAAAATGTACGATTTGGTTAACATCTTCCCGGTGTTTTGTGGGTTTATTATCCTGTCGCTAATGCCCTCATTAGAAATCAAGATGCCATTGTCCATACCAAATATCAGGGACCTAGAGGACTGTTTCAAGTTATCACATTCGTTCAAATAGTCTTTGGTTAAAATGACTTCAATCATGTCCTAAGAATAAGGAGCATTTGTTTTTGACAAAGACATCTATATAAAAGGAAAAAAAAAAGGTAAGAAAAGAACCACATTCGTATTGCATATACGTCTGGACTCTAGAGTAACATCATTTTAATTATAGGGAAAGTAAATAAGCAAGAGCAGAAGATCCTTTGTAACTTGTAAGTGAATCCATGTTTTCTTTCCAATATACAAATCTTCATAGCAAATTATTTGGGATGTATTTGTAACAATGTGAACCTAGTTGCTATAAAGCTGTGCAAGTAAGTTTGTCAACAAAGTTGACCTTTGGCATTCAACACACAATAAGAATGTTTAAACGTGTTCTCTTACCGATGAGTTTAGCAGTTCTGGCTGCTTTATTAGCCTATCGTTCACTTCAAGTAAAGACCCTTTTACACAACACCTATTAATACAAAACCACAAAACAAAACACTTTTTTAAGAAAATTCAAAATAAAA